TTTATATTTATTTATTTAGATTTAGTTTTAGATTTAGACTTAGGCTTAGACTTATATTTATATATTTATTCCCCAGCAGTTACGCAGCAAATGTGATTAATGAGCCGATCCAGCTGGAAACAGTAGACACCACACTACTTCTCCCCACTTCTCTTCCAAACTAGGTTGTCTAGCCTCAGTAATTGGGATAATTACCATTGCTGCCCCCTTTTGGGCTGTGCCCGCTTCCATGTTCAGACCAAAGTGGAATTGTGTTTCAGTTAGAAATCTATGACTTTCCGTTCAGTTAGGCTAATTACGGAGACATTGATTAGGTTGCCTCGTGGGTGACTCAGACACAGTAATTAAAACTCATTTTGCTCCCAGAGATGCAGGCTGCTTTCAGGGACCAGAGCAGCTTGGAGGACTCTGTCATTCCTGAAGTCACAGGAGCGATGACTGGCCACCACTCCATGCGTTACTGCCTGGGGCCGTGCTCAGAGCTCTGGTAGAGCGAGAACCAAGCCCTCCCCTCTGCCCTCCTGCTTCCTAGAGACACTGGCAGGGGCCGTGGGAACTCCCCTACCAGCTCAAGGAGAGGGCTGAGCGTGCCTGCAGCCAAACTGGTAATTTCTCCAAGAGCTCTCTGGTGGATGCAAATAGTTCTTCAACAGAACGAGACGGCCCCAGGCTTATGCTTGTGGTCTTTCGCATAATGCTCTGACTAACTGCTTAGTTCACCTTAGACCTCAGCTGTCGGCTTCTACTGTGAGACCCTGGATAGGTAAGGATGGACCTGGCCCAGGCCTGGGGTGGATGGTGGGGCTTTGGTTTGATTGCTGGTGTTTACTGCCTGTTCCTGGGTTCCTGAACTCAATGGCAGCCCTGGGGACAGGGGAGCCAAACATTGCATGGGTCTGCACCATACCCAAGATTGTGCCCTTTGATTGGACTATTATTGTGGTCTCTCTGGTTGATTCTCTGAAATCAGTCTCTAGGCCTTTCCTCCTGGTCATCTTAGTCTAGAAGCTCTTCTGGGACATGTTCAGCATCACAGCAACGTGCAATCCTCTGCTGACAGATGGGGGAGGCATACGTGAGGTGTGCTAGTAGGGGACTGAGCTCAGCTTCGCCAGATGGGAGACCAAAGTTCTGTCAGGGAACCACCACTTTAGTTTGAACGAACAGATCCTAACTGGGAAAGTGGTTTTAGGTTTGACCTAATGGAAGCCAACTATTACACATTTCTCTCACAGAGCAGCTGGTGGGGTCAGTACACCAGCGTTTTGCTCAGCAGCGAGGCACTTAATCACCCACTGTGAGTACTTCCTTCTCCTTAAATTAGGGCCCCCAAGGGGAGCTCTGGTGGCCTAGTGGCAAGAAGCTGTGCTGCAATCCCAAAGGCACTTGGTTCGAATCCACCAGATGCTCTGCAGGGGAAGGAGGGACAATCTCCTCCTGTACTAGTCAGATCTGATTTGATGGTACACACACACAAAAATAATAAATTTTTTTTAAAAAAAATTAGGGCCCCCAAATGTAAGATCCCGCCATTTGCTTGCTTGTCTGCCTTTCTTTTTCATTATAATTTTCATTTTTCTCTTTCTTCCTCTACCCCCCATATTCCCAATTGATGCACTTACTATCCACAGGGTTTTGGCGTGCTTTTTTTTCTTTTCTTTCATTCTCAGTAACATTATTCTGTGCTCACGAATCCTTACTTGAACTCATTTAAGCTTGAGAGAACTTTGTGTGAAGTGCTGCTCTCAGAGCTGTGTGATAGGAAGTCACTAGCAGCTGCTGAGCTCTTGGGCACTCTTCAAGAGGCATCGGAGGAACTGACTTTTTAATTTTATTTCAATAGCCGTTTGCAGCTACCACATTGGACGTCCCAGTAAATCAAACTCATTCATTCTTTACTTGACAGTGAGCACATCTGTTAGAGTTGGAACTGGACTTGTCAGCACTGGGTACACTGTCTCCTTATGTAGCTTTCTTGTTAGCTCAACCTGAACATTAATAATAAACCTTTGCAAATTTACAATGCAGCTTGCACTTATTGTTGACTCATCCTGAATTTAGGGAACTCTGGTGGCCTGGTGGTAAGAAGATGTGCTGTAATCTCAAAGGCAGGTGGTTCGAATCCACCAGTTGCTCCATGGGAAAAGGATGGGCAGTGTCCTCTTGTATGACTTACTGCCTCTGAAAACCCGCGGTGGGGTGGGGGGGTCAACTATGAATTGGTTCTGACTCAATATGTAATACACAACCAACAGCAATAACAATATCCTGAACTTGCATCCCGATTGTCTTATTAATTTCCTTTCTTTGTTCTCATTACAATTCCGCCTTTTGACTTCTTACAGGTTCAGCGAAATGAGGACAAATCTACTACCTTGAAGCTTGCTGATTTTGGTCTTGCAAAGCTTGTGGTGAGGCCCATATTTACTGTGTGCGGGACTCCAACCTACGTGGCTCCTGAAATTCTTTCTGAGAAAGGTAAGTGCTTTGTGTTGCGCTGTGATCTCCAGCTCTCCCTTTGTAACAGATGTTTTAGGTTTGATATTTTGTGGGTTCCCCCCCCTAATATGGAGCAGTAAATAATCTTAAAGTTGGTCTAAGGTTTTGACTTGAAGAAGGCTCGCTTGACTCCTCTGGGCACACTTGTTCTTCACCAGGATTGGCCTTACCACAGAGGGGGAGCTGGAGTGAGTGTAGGTATGTTCGTAATCCTGTGTGCTGTTTGGACAGCTCGGTGTGAGAGGGTGGAGAATTGGGTGGACAACTCAAGCGAACCTCCAGTGGGAAAGAATAAAAGCAACAGAAGCAGTGGGAGGTTAAGTAGAAGAGATTAAACATATACGGGGAGGGGAAAGGAGGTAGAAACTTTGAAATGACTAACTTCAAAGGAATGGAGAGGAATGTAGTTGGTTGATTAAGTTGCCGTTAAATTCGTCACAAATGGGAGGACTGGACAGAGATGTTTGGACTGGCTGTTGGCACCATAGTGACCGTTGTAACGTAGAGACGGAGGGTGGAAGCATACTGAGGGAGGATGATATATTTTTAATGACGACATTGATGGGTTGGAGAAGAGAAAGAAAACAAATAGCCGACATGAATTCTTAGAATTCATTCTATGATTTCTTAGGAAACCCCAACTGAAACAGGGTGTTGACATGGGATATTCTTTGGGCTATGAGGATAGAGTGAGTACATACGAAGCATACTGACTTTATGTAGACAGGAGTGCAGACACATGGAATTGTTTGATAGGCAAGGAGGTGACGGGCCTGGGGCGGATTTGTGGTTGTTAAGACTTTTCAACATAGGGATGAAGTGGTAAGATGATGAGCTCCTTCTTGAGGCCAGCAGGACGGCCAAGAATAGGAGACAGTGGATGAAAGGAGGAAGGAGGAGTCAGAGAGGACAGATCAGCTTGGAGACAGGAAGGGGATCAGGGAAGTACAATGTCACCAGGAAAGTACAATGGGCCAGGGGGTGAACTGTAAGAAGTTGAGATGGTCAGCGGAGTCTCCCAAGGACGATCACTTCTATGATGCAAAATCAAACCCTCCCAAGGAGATAAGAACTGTGAACAGCCATCAAGACTGGCCAGAGTGAGGTCAAGAACAACTTATTCCCTTAATATTTTCCCATTAATTTGTGTCTTGACAAACTTATTCTGGGCTTACTTGTGAATATCCAACTTTCATATTAAAGCTGTGGAGTATTTTTTTCTTTACAAAAGTAGAAGTACTTTCTAATATTTGAAAATTCACATGCTGTTATGTTTGCTGGACTTTGATGGGATAGTATGTATCACAAACTTTATCTGAGCATTATTTTACGAATTTTTATTACCCAATGTTATCTGAAGAATATAATCAAAGATGTGCACAAATTTTGAATACATGAGAACGTGCTTCATAGACTTACTTACAGTTGTGAAACATTAAAAACAGCTTAAGTTCCAACATAGGGTACTCAGTATTGAAAGGGAGTAATAGCACTTGTTAGAAATTTTTTTAAAAATAAAATTTTTATTCTATACTCGTTTACTTAAAAAGTTTATATATATATATATATATATTGTTTTTCACACCAGATCTTTCCCATTTCCTTTACTGGCCCCTCCTTCCCCCCAACACATTGTGCAGCTTTATGATTAACACCCCCCCACCTGCCATTCCTCACCCTTTAACTCCTCCCCTGCACCCCTCTGATTCTCATACACATTTTACTAGTTGTCTTCCTAAGAAATTGTTTTGAAAATTATTTTTATATAGGAAATTCTGTGGTATAATCGTAAATGAATAAGAGAGAGTGTAAAATATGTTGAATCTGATCTCAATTTGGTTTAAAAAAGTATAAATGTGGGTGAATGTGTGTATGTGTGGGAATACAGCTAGTAAACATCAGTCTCTTTATAATGTTTTAGAAATCCAGTAAATGATACTTTTAAAATGAGAGAGTACTCATTAATGTATAGGAAATAAAGATTACAGTATAGGCCAGAGCTTCTCAAGTGATCTCTGGTGAAGGGCTGGAGTTTAAAATTTCAGTACAGCCTGGACCACTATGTGACCTCACTGTACATAATCACATCATAGCTCACACTACATGCATCTTATCATTCCTATTTGTTATCATCCCAACTCATTTAACAAGGTGAGTTCATTGATCACATCATGGTCCTATCTTATGAGCTTCTATATTGCCTAGTTGTAATTGCTGTACTTATTTTTGTGCGTCTGTAATAAACAGACCATAAAGTGGTCTGTAGACTGCATTTTGAGTCACCTGGTAGCTTTACCCAACAGCAGTGAGACTTGGTATTGGGTGTGGACCCCTTGCTTGTAAGAGAGAAGAGGTGTGATTGCAGTCAAGCCAACCTGAGTGCTTGGAAATGGCTTGAGCTTACTGAAAGCTGTATGTACTCTCTTCCTCATGACCTCAAGCTAAGACCTTCCATGTTTTATTTTGACATGTTGTACCCACCCCACTTTTCAGTCTACTTATCGTCTCTACGTCTCTTGTGCAGGTTATGGGCTGGAGGTGGACATGTGGGCAGCGGGAGTAATCCTCTACATCCTGCTGTGTGGCTTCCCTCCCTTCCGGAGCCCAGATCGGGATCAAGATGAACTCTTTAACATCATCCAGCTGGGCCACTTTGAGTTCCTCTCCCCTTACTGGGACAATATCTCTGAAGGTGAGATTCGGGGCTTCCATAGCAAGAGGAGGTGGTGGTGGTTGTGTAGCGGTACTTCACCTCCTCCTGCTATGCACTAATTAATATGATAGTAAGTCATTTGGAAGCTAACCAAAAGGTCATTGGTTCAAACCCACCAGCCTTTCTGCAAGATAAAGGTGAAACCTGGACCTATTGATTGGGGTGCTCAATTGTTCACATGTGACTCTGGATTCCTGGACTGGGACTCCTTCAGGAACCTTGAGTGAGTGATGCTGGTGGAGAGTTGGTGGCCAAGGCCCTTTTGTGGGTATACTCTGCCCAGTTTGAACTGAGGAGTAGAAGAAACTTTATAACATTTTGTTAAAAAAATTGGCTCAATAGTGGACATAGAAGAGGGGGTGAATGATGGCCCAGTAGCTGGTCTTGAGTGGGGTATGAAAGAGGCTCCCCCAATAAAAGTTACACAAGAGTGGGTATTTTTCTTGTGAATTTCTTGAGTGACCAGAGGAGGTGGCTCAGAGGTCAGCCTGAGAGCCAGGAAGCAGAGGAGAAATCCTTTCCCCTCCCTGCCTGCCACCTGCCCACCAGGAGTTATCCCATCTCTCTGGGACCAGTCATGGTCTTGGACAGAGAGTGAAGTTTGTGGTGTTTGTCAATTTCGTGATTTTGCACATATTTTTCGGTTTCATCAATATGAAGGCATATTTATCAGCTTAGGAAAATGAAACTTCTTTTAAATTTGAAAACTTGTTAGTTTGATTTAAAACCTTAATATATGTCTACATGTAGCCCATGAGCCTCTTCTGTTTCTCTTTGACTCTGGGGGCCATGGATGGGCCTGGTCCGAAACTCTGGAGAAATGAACACCCTCCCTGGAGTTTCACTATCCAGTATGGAAACTATTAGCCATGCATATAACTGTTCACATGTAAAGGCAAACTAACTAAAAGAGTCTCTGGGTGGCACATCTGGCTAAGTGTTCCATTACCAACTGAGAGGTTGGTGGTTTGAACCCACCCATGGGCTCCTGGGAAGAGAGGCCTGTGGAGCTGCTTCTGAAAGATCATAGCCATAGATCACACCATGGAAGACAGTTCTACTCAGAAACACATGAGGACGCCATAGGATGGAATTGACCCAATGACAATGGGTATGTTCCCTTTAAAAGTAGATAGCATTAAAAATGCTTTTCTTCTTGTGTATTTCCATTGCTCAGTAACTGCATTTTTACAGCACAGATTTAAAATGTTTCCATCCCTGCAGAAAACCCTATTGGAGAGCTTTGCTTGGGACTGCAGAAGAACCTTTTAGCCAACCCGTGGTTGCTAACATGCACGTCTGTGTTCTTAGCTGAGTAAGAATAACGTACAACCTCCCGTGTTCATCTCAGTTTCTTCTCTCGCTCTCTACAGCTGCCAAAGATCTCGTGAGCCACTTGCTGGTGGTGGATCCCAAAAAGCGCTACACGGCCCAGCAAGTTCTCCAGCACCCCTGGATCGAAGCTGCTGGAAGGGCAAGCACAGGGACCCTGCGGAAGGAGGTGCCCCTTGGCAGCGAGGGCCACCTGCGAGGCCAGCTCACAAAGGCTGCGGGGGAGACGTCGTCCTCATCATCTGGGCGCCTGTCCAGCTCCCTGCTCTGCTCAAGGACAGTGAACATGCGGAAGATGGAGAGAGACTCAGAAAAAGGGGCTTCTTGAGAGAATCAGGACTAGGAGAGACACTCAGCATATCTGAAAACAGAAACGGAGCCTTTCTGTTGAGCAATGTTGTACCATATTTTATTGTGTATATATTTGAAGCCTTTAATACTTTGATGGGAGGGAGGAGCCATCAGGGAGGGAATTTTGGTGACAATGATGTTTTGCTTTTTTCCTTATAATCAAGCTCACAGAACATTAACTACTTGACTGGTGCTTTCCAGGTTCTAAGCTCCCCTCGAGATTAATAAGGTAAATCATGGTCTTTCTGTGTTAATAAAATGTTCTCTGACTGACTCAAGAGAGTCTTTGTTCGGATGACTTCTTTCCATGCTGGTGAGGAGAGCAGGTGCTTCAGAATGTGTCCTGGAACCAACATAACTACATATGACCATTGTCATGTTGAGGGTCCAATCCTGCTTGCTCAAGGTACATTCATTTCAGGTGTCCGGAAGTGGATATTCATGGTGGAACTTACACATTTCAGTCTTTCTGAAACTCAGGCTTCTCTGAAAATGTGAAGAGCAAGTTGTGGACTCATTCTTGCTTTTTATTTTTTTTAAGAGAAGTGATTCTTTATTCACACTCAGGCTTTGCATGATCTAGGTACATCAACAACTACTTTTTGTTCTCTTTATTTCTTTTAAACAGTTCTCTCCCTCATCCTGTTTCATCATCCTGTTTCAATGCAGTATACATACTTTATCCCATCTTTCTCAGTCTCTCCCCAACCCCAATGTCAGTCTTGTTCTACAACAGTGGCACTATGCAGTATTTGTC